TATGAGAGCCAGATGCAGGTCATAAAGTCTGAAGTGATTTTTCAATACACTAACTGTTAATTTTTACACATTAAAGGTGGATAAACAAATAGAGGATGTTATTTAATACACGGTTAGCTCTAATTTAACTTTTAGTTATCTTTTTCTGTATATGCAAGAGCATATTCTGATGACAGTAAGAAAAAATTAAGCCTGATATTCAGGTCTTAGTTTTATCTAACGCTGAGTGCCCTACACAAATTATATTTTATAATCCTGTGGTGCGTGCTACTTATACTGATATAAGTAGTATATAACACGAGTCAGGAATGTAATGTCTGGCAGCAGAAGATGGGGAAGATGAAGAAAAGAAGAACGGGAATAGAAAGCAATTAGTATGGAAATGCGAAAACAATGAAGTCCGAGACAATTATTGGACACTTTGCAAATTAAGTATTATAGTATGGTTTTTCTATTTTACCAAGTAACAGTGATTTCGTGGCTAACATAATTCGGTTGTCCTCACCTGTGTTCTCCTTCACTACAATCCTTCCTTCCTTAAATGATGTTGAAATAAGTACATTGTCTACAAATGTGGCATTTTGTTGTATAAGACTGCATTCTTTGATGATCAGTTGTTGATCTCTGTTCATTGAGGAATTTGTAATAAGATAAATTCAGGCAAATGTCCTCAAATTTACTTAGTTCAACAAGCAGTTTCTAGCTTTTATAATGAAAGGTGACCATAAATATATAAATTGCTAAACAATCGTTTAAATGTATTAATATATTTGTAAATATGACAATATAAATAGAATATTTGTATTAAAAATAATCATCTATTCTTGTAGCAATAAATAAATAAATTAGTTAAAAATTTATAGACGAAATAAATATAAAGTTACTAACTAAGTAAATTTTAGTATAACTAAGTTTATAGAACTACAAAAAGAACATTTGTGACAAAACATTTTTTAATCGTTATAAGAATATTTCATTTTTCACTACATTAATTTAGATCAGTAGGTGATTAAAAAGGGTGGAATGTTACGTCACCAAATAATTTTTAGTATAAATCGACAGAACCCTAGAAATAAAAAAAAAGATCAGACGGTTGCTTTATTTTTTTTCTAGTATGTAATCTCAAATTTTTCATATTATTAAATGATAATGGTTGATTAATTGTTTTTGATAAAACAGATAACTAGTCCAAATGTTACTCATCGGAAGCCAATGTATGTACGGCACCCATATCCCATTCAGAGTTAATGTGAGTTCCTATTTTTACTACTGAAGGATTTTAAAATCATATGAAAAAGCTGTTTATCATTATTGAGCCAAACAATCCCAGGTAGATTACCTAATGTTTTAAGGTTTCATAGTGTTTGGAAAATGCAGCCGTGACCGTAGTGTTGTGAATGAAGGGATTATTAAGATGACCAAGTTTATTATTCACGTAACTTTGTCTGTGCATGACATTTAGCATAAAACTTTCCATACATCCTAAAGCTCCCCACTATCCCATTACTGGTTGGTTCGAGCGTCAGAAAGCGTTTTGGAATCGTTACCGGATTCTAATAAGTTACCTTTGGATTAATCATTACTTTTCTAACAAATAATTTTTCAGCAAAACCCAAATAAAATTTTAATATAAATTTCATTAGGTGCTTAATTACTTATCTCTTACTCCTTGTGGAGGAGCAAAGGCCGCCCAACAGTATTCTCCCTCCAATCCTTAGAACAGTGTGTTCTTTGACCTTTCTCTTTACCGTTTGCCTTCAGGATTCCAAGTTGGTGCTTGCCTCGTGATTGAGTTTGATGATTTCCTCAATGTATGTCCTATCCACTTCCAGAGTCCTTTTCTAATTTCCTCCTCATCTGGGACCTGGTTTGTTCTCTTCTACAGTAGGTTGTTACTGATGATATCCAGTCAATGGACATTGATTATTATTGTGTAGACAATTGTTTAGAAATACTTGTAAATTTTTGATAATGGTTATAGTAGTCCTTTCTTGACGTTCGTATTGAAAATCGTGACTTTGATATTGATTGACAGTTGTTTTGAATTCCGTATGTTCTTCAGTTGTCGGAATGCTGCCCTTGCTTTGTCGATTCTCGCCTTCATGTCCGCATCAGATCCTCCTTGTTCATCGATGATACTGCTGACCAGCTACGTGAAAGCATTCACTTCTTCCAGAGTTTCTCCATCAAGTGTGATTGAGTTAGTGTTCTCCATGTTGTATTGGAGGATCTTACTGTTTCCTTAGTGTATGTAGAGGCCTACTGATATACAGGCTACTGCTACACTGTTTGTCTTGACCTGCATTCGTTGATGGGTATGGGGTAGAAGGTTCAGATAATCTGTGAAGTCCGATTCGTCTAGTTGCATCCAACCTGTCCATTGTATTCCGTGCTTCACTTCAGATGTGGAGGTCTTCATATTCTAACCAACCACCAGAAGAAAGAGAAAGGGGGAGAGTAAGCACTCTTGTCTGACTCTGATTGTCACTTTGAATGCGTCTGCCAGCTGCCCTCCATGTACTACTTTGCACTATAGTTCATCGGATGAGTTCCGTATGATGTAATAATCTTTTCAGGTACACCATAGTATCGAAGAAGTTCTCCTATCTACACTGTCAAATTGTTATATTGAAGGCCGCCAATTGTTATATGTTGTGACGCGTGCTGATTGGAGGACAGTGAGTTATCGATCGGACCAAAGACACGTAAACACGTAAGAACAGCCTAGAGTTCTGATTGGCCCTGCTTCCCTGTCTAGCCCAGCCAGTTGAGTCCAGAACGCAAGTCTCAGCCTCTGTGATATGAATCGTTATATTTCAAACATACACTGTTTATATACCAAACAAACAGACTACATCGTACCATAAAATGGAAAGTAACATTTGTACAAGAGTTGACCTCCAGGAAATGACACAAATAAATATTGACCAATAGGAAAATGACACGTTGGAAGAATATCGACCAATGGGGAAATGACACCATTTCTCATTCAGGAATAGCATTAGATAATTTCTGGGGTATTTTCTGAATACCCCAACACCAGCAAATAATGGATACTATGGTGTCTAACACAAATGCTCTCTTATACTCAAGAAAGTTGATGTATAGTGACGAGTTCCATTCAATTGATTGTTCAACGATGATCCATAGTGTCGCGATTTGATCTGTGCATGATCGATCGTTACGGAATCCGGTCTGTTGATATCGATGTTGAGTGTCTACTGAGTCTTTCATCCGGTTCAGCAACAATGATGAAAACTTTTCCTGGCACCGATAGTAGTGTGATGCCTCTGTAGTTCTCACACTTGCTCAGATCTCCTTTCTTTGGTATGTTGATGAGGTGTCTTTATTTCCAATCTGCCGGACCTTGCTCTTCCTACCAGATCTTCCTGAATAGAACGTGGAGTATGCTTGCAGTTACTTCTATGTCTGGCTTCAATGCTTCGGCTGGTATACTGCCAGGTCCAACTGCTTTCCCACTCTTGATTTGTCTGGTGGCCATCCTGATTCCTTCGGTCGTTGGTGGAGGGACATCTATAGGAAGCTCTGCAGGTCGTACTTCGATGTCCGGTGGACTCAACGAAGCTGGCCTATTCAAGCGTTCCACGCATCTGTTCCCCTGTCCTTGAATCTCAGTGATTGTCTTGCCTTTTTTGTCCATGACCGATCTATCTGGCTTACTATATTTCCCTGTCAGTTTGTTCGTCTTGTCATATAGTTGTTTCGTATTTCCTTCCCTTACAGCTTTTTCCCCGGTTGTTGCGAGCTCCTCCACGTATTTCTGCTTGTCGGCTCTAATACTCCTCTTCATTCACTTGCTTGCTTCAGTGTATCCAGCTTCTGCCTTCGATGTCTCTGTTCTTGTTCGACTGTTGTGAGTTGCTGTCTTCTTGTTCTTCCTTTCTTGAATCTTGTCCAGGGTTTCCACAAAGATCCATTCCTTTAGATGACACTTCTTGAGGCTCAGAACTTGTCATGTTGGAGTTAGTGCACCTTTGATCTCTCCCCAGTTTTCCTCCATAGTAGCCTCTTCTTCTCTGGGTAGATCTTGTGGGGCGTGGAACCTGTTGTTGAGAGCTGTATTGAATTCGTTGAGTTTGACAATATCTAGAAGGAAGGTTGCATTAGACATTTGTAATGCTATTTCTTCAGTTGTCCAGTTCTTCTTTAGCTTCGGTTTTAAATTGGCCACAACTAGGTGGTGATCTGAAGCTATGTCAGCTCCTCTCCTGGTTCTCACATCTCCCATTGTCCTTCGGAATTTTTTATTGAAGCAAGTATGATCTATCTTGTTTTCTGTGGTGTGGTCCGGTGAGATCCATGTAGCTTTGTGTATGCATTTGTGGGGAAGTATTGTGTCGCTTATAACCATATTGTAGAACGCACATAAAATTGCAAATCTGTTACCTTTCTTGTTCCTTCCTCCTAGTCCCCGGTCCATGTCGTCCGATGTTATCTTCATACCCGATGTTTTTCAATCTGGCTTTGGCGTTTAGGACACCCATCAGGATGGTCAGGTTCTTTCCTGAGCACTTCGCTATGATTGATTGCATCCTCTCGTAAAACTGATCTTTATCGTCATCCCTTCTATTGTTGGTTGGTGCATAACACTGATAATATTCATTGTGGTCTCCCCCTCTTTGTTTTGTAGGATGCTCTAATAATCCTGGATTCATGAAATTCCCATTCCCGATGCCCGACACTCCTTTACCTGGGCTCGGGACCGGCTGTAACCCTATAGGGGCTACAGAAATAGTTTATCATAGCTCACAAGTTGGAGCTTGAAAATTTTCTAAACAATAAGGAAGAAATCTATTGTCATTTTAAATATTACACATGAAGCGTTAATATAATATATGCTTACATTAGCAAACTATTTGAAATTAGATGTCATATTGTGTTAGCAAATTTTAATGGACAAAATCTGTGATTTATGCGTGCGAAATGACCAGAAATTTGCCGTGAAATGAATTTATTTGAACGGTAGTTCATATCTCTTTTCATGAATCCTTTTCTTGGTTTTTAGGCAATTTATGTAAATGAAAAGTAAGGAAGAGTCTAAATGCAAAAATAGAAATACCATGGGTGCTCATTAACACGAAGATATATGAATATCTTAAAAACATATTTCGTAAATGTATAAAAAATGAAATTAAGAGTATTTTTAATCCATCAAACTTAGTCTTCAAGAAGTTGTACCGACTGCCGTCTAGTCTAACATATGAGCCATCTGAAACTTGGACCTAGAGATAAACTTACTTTGAAAACTGGCATGTTGGTTCGAAATAGTGATTATCATCATTCTCGGATAGTTTCCATACAATTTTCAGTATTGTCGCACCTAAGGTATTTAATATAGACGGATGTGATTTATTGGGTTATCAAGCGTTTTTGATATTTCATCTACATCGTCAGTGTCAAATAAAATTCCACTTGTTGAACCAATTGAAAAATAAAAATATAAGTGGTTAATGCCTGTTCAGAAATTCAAAAAAACAGGATAGTTTGGCTTAGAGTTCTTTTTCGTTGATTCGCTTTTTAAGGTTGAACAATATATATGCATATAACTTTCACGATATTTAATTGTCATTTGTCAACAAAAATATCCATATACAATATGATTTTTCAATAAGCCTTTTTGAGGTATACAATGCTCTGTGGTGAGGATTCAAATTTAACTGTCAGTATGGGGTTGTGGAGACTATTGAATTTCATAAACCGATAAGTGTTAGACCACCACTGAGAATTTTGAAGTAGTTGGTGTCGGAATATAAGACTCCTCACCAGTGGGAAGCCACGATCCAGCACTCGGGATTCAAACCCAGGTCCTTAGACCTCGTGTGAATACCAGTGCTTCCAGGTGTTCAATGTTGATCAAACATCGTTTATTTAGTTATTTCAATAAAGTTAGTCTTGTTTAGAGAGCATAGTTTTCTTTGAAAAATTATTTTTCATCAGTTATCACATTGAAGTAAGTGATTAGTGGTTGATAAAGACAAAAGTAATTTTAAATAATGACTTGAAATCGCCTACCTTGACGGCTGTGGCTTATTTCGGCGATTAGCAGATGTAGGCCTACTCTTAGTTTGCTCATCTAACTGCTTGGCTTCGTAACTAGTTGAATATAATGTAGTAAATCTGTTTTGATAAAATGAGTGTGGTTGTTTCAGATAATCAGCTTTCCAATTCTTAAAGGAATTCTTATCATATCTTCCTATTGAACATTTCGGGATATGCATTAACCAATCATCTGTTGTACTAACACTTAGCCATTGTGCTATAGTTTCAGATTCGATTTTACTAAATATGCTTTTTGGTAAAGTTGGTTGCGATGTAATCCATCGATAAGCCGTTATTGAAGGTGTTAATCCTGGGTGTTTCATTTTATTATATGAATTTGCCAGATTTGGGACGTGTTTTTCAACTATTTGATTATCTGTTCTCATACAAACGTCTGTTGATACAACAGATTCGCATTCTAATTGGTCGTATTCTGAGGAACAATCGGTGGACATTATAAATGCTAATTAAATAAAAAAATAGCCATAAAAGTGGTTTATACTTTTATAAGAACAAGGATAAGGGAAACAAAACAAATTGGCACTTATATTTAGGCGTTAGCTAATGTACAGTAAATGCTACTAAGAAAAGACAACTCATAAATTTATCTTTCATCATGCGAGTTCACAATTATTATGCTCTCAAATGTTCGATACGATTGAGACAATTATATATATATATATATATATATATATATATATATATATATATATATATATATATATATATATATTGTAATCTGTTAAAACATTTTTCATCAAATAATTTATTACACCCTATAGTTTGAAGTTATGTTTGTGAGCGAAAGCTCTAATGCTGAATGACGGTAAACGAGTGGTATCTTCAACTACTGAAATTTCCATTGCCGAGTCTCATCTCTTGTGATGTTTTTGGATGACTTTCTGAGGAACAAGGGGCGAGTATGCTTTTATTATTCGTCAGTCATCGGACATGAACTATGAAAGTGGAGGATAGTTACAGATTTATACAATTTGATTATGGATACTTTCGAAGCATTACTAACATATAGTGGAACAACGGAGTGTACGATATAGAGGTCTATAGTAAGGCATTATGTATTAAACCTTTTTCTACTAGGGTAGTCAGGGTGGGCATTACTTATTCACTGTTATCGCATACCTAGATGTGTAAATACGGCCCATCTAGGAGTAGGTTGGAAGGAGCTACTGATGGCCAGACCAAAAAACGATATTAATCCATGAAGTTACTGACTGTTAGACTTATTCACGTTGGTAGATGAGACCATTGTTTTGGACCACATCATAATCTAAATCATTAGTTGGAAAGTTCGTGTGTCGTAATCTACGACCGATCGCGATGATGTATTTGAATATGTTCTCTATCTTTAGATTGCGAGTTATTTGTCATCCCCAATACTTTATTGCTTGATCCTAAATCATGATTTGAGACTGTGTTTTTATGGTACAATATACGTACCACAGGACTATGTGGATATTGACCTGCTTATTAGCTTATTATTTGATAACCATTGGTTGGTGGATTTGCCTTTAAGCATGTCATTTGCAATGCATTAAATGTGATGAAATTCTATTTGATGTCATTGTTTACTCAAGCATCGGTCAAAAACCCTAACTTTATCTCCTTTATAAATGCATTTCTCTGAACTGTATTCCGTTACTACACACATATATATGGTCAAATTTTCGTCTTGCTTACTCATATGTTGTTACTTTGAAGTAATATCTATCTTTTCAATATCATTTGGCCTATGTACAAACTGTTTCCAGTCATTAGTGGATTAAGTTACAAGCAGGTACTTATCAAAGCAAGCAAGTGACTTCTCGGTGAAGAACTATTCATGAATCCTGCTAACTTTATGGACATTCACCTAATGGATGGTACTCAGTGTCATCCAGAATGTTAAGAAAAGACAATCTCATTTCGTTCCACGGGATTCATTACTAAATAAATAGTTATTCGCATTCAAGAGAAATGCGAAAAAATCAGCTGATTCGGGATCGCATAGATTAAGAAGAGGACTGAACCTTTCTAAGAGGCAAAGTCGTGCAGTATTGCGTTGTGGTGTGATTATGCCAGATATGGTTGTTACGTAAGACTCTGATTCGGTATTGTTTCGAAGTTATCGATGCCAAATCATTTCAATGTCAACACGAAAAAAGTTTACCTGGATAGCATGCTATCATGACACCTGAAAAAACCGGAAAGGGAAGTTGGTGATTTTACTCAGTATACACAATTGCCAGAGAACCAAAAAATCAATCACCAGCCACCAATATACCTCTGAAGAAATGAAGGCTACTGAAATTAATGACGGCTGCAGTCCAGTAAAATATACGAAGATCGACATTCCCCTGAACAACTCGCCGACTACCAGGTATTAATTCATTGATTTGGTTTTTACGCATCAGTTCTTCCCAACTAGGATTCATTTCACTAGTTAACTGTTCTACTGTACAGTCAACACTACGTACTATATCTTACGAGCAAGTTATATCAACATTTATATGTATAAATGTAGTGTCAAGTATTTTGCAAACAAATAGGTGATTGCCAGATAGACTCTACAAGTTGAAGATATGCCTAAAGAAGCCTCCTACCAAAGTTAAATACGGAATAATATGCGGCGTCGGCTTACGGTCACTGAGGTTTTCAATTTGTACAGCTGAAGAGTTAGATGTTTTTGAGTGTGTTAACGAATGATAAATTTCATGTCCATTTTGTAGATTGTAGTTTTTCTTTTATTACACTTTGGGTGAACAAACTTTCGGAGATACGCGATCATCCGCATAGTCACAAGATTCGTGCTTGCTTACACTCTGTCATCTCAACTAGCAATTCAATGAAAATTGGATGGAACAAAGAACAACGTCGAGACCAGGGATTACCGCTTTTTCAGCCTGCCCCAAAAAATACTTTACTATAGTTTACCTCATTTTCAGTGCATACAATATTTGAAAAGTACTCATGCTTCGATCTCATGTCGTGAACAAATTTGTATATTCATCATATTCCCTGATAACAATGACTAATTTTATCACTCTGCAATTCTGTTTTTAGAATACCACAGGTTCAACAACTTCATTTATAACACGAAAATATTCTCTGGCCGAAAACACTATTCAAGATGTAAGATATGGGAAGTGTTTAAGAGAAAGAATGCCTGTATAACGCTTGGTAACTTGGGGATGTAAGTTCGTTCGACAAAACAGTTTTGATGGCAGTTTCAGGCGATAAATGCGTTGCAAGAAAAAACTGTTTCAGTGGAGCAAACATAGCGAACAGTAAAGCTTCTACACGGACTTTGTTTAATGGAGAACGTGGTTTCTCTTCAGATTACAAGAAACATCCTTGAAGTATATTTCAAGGATGTTCATACATACTGATTTTATGCAGAAAAATAGTAACGTTTGCAAGATCAGAAAACATAGTTCACAGAAATTCTTGGCGTAGTAAAGTTTTGAGTGGGTTCTAAGAAAAAAACTTCAAACCAGCAATAGGCATGGGATTTTCATGTAGCGATTCTTAGCATTTTTCCGAAGCATATGAAAAAATTCGGTAAAGTCCCCACATCTTAGTGAATATCGTCTCAAAATTCGTCCTGGACTGTGAGTGAAACTGTCTCACACTTGATCAATTTTATCCCAAATTAGGGAGCTTTATAAAGCTCCCTAATTTGAACCTGTAGGTTCATGTGGGCATGTACATCTTTGAATTCGAAACATCTCTTGTAAATATACGTTATCATTTTGTGGTATGCGACAAGACATAGCCAAAACCTATTTTACTTATATCTGTCCTTTTAAATACGTGGCACTGTTTGTCAAAATCTACTGAACTGTTATGAGCATCTCTAGCAGTTGCCTGGAATCACTGTCGGAGTAAATTTCCCGATATAATGCTTAACTCAATTAGCTTCTAACAATCTGTAACTGGCTAATTAATTCAGTCGATCACTTTATAATTTAAAACAAATGGTCGTTTGTATCCTACCCTCATGTCGAAAACTAGCAAAATTGTATCGCTTAGCAACGTACTACATCGGTGAGTATAACAACGTACAAGTTGGGTGAATAGAATTTTTTCAGTATTATTCATCACTGTACAGGGTTTGTTTAAACTGACAGTTTTTCTGTTTATTTCTGAATGGACACGGATGTATTCGTATGTTGATGAAGGTTAATGTGTTGACCCACCAAGCTTGGTCGAATGGTCTTCATCACCACTTCCAGTCATATGAAGATCATCTTCATCGTCGAAGCAAAACGAATACTTAGTATCCATCCCTCTCAGTAACTCTAGTAATTTACGATCCATTGCGATAAACAGGACTCCATACATAAACAGTTTGGTAATAAATTATTAAATTTCTGTCAACTTGAATGTTAGAAATAGACAGTAACGACCTACAAAACCCACTACTATTACTTCATATATATGTTTCTCCATACGGTATTGTGGATTTTGTCCCTCCTCCCTTCTTTGTAAGAGCTAGAAAGTTTCCTTGACTCTGTGAGATGAATTCAAGTTTATTCGAGTTATCTCATGGAGTACCTTCATGAGGACTAGTTTTCAAGCGGATAGGTTTAGTTGAAAGTGTGTCGTCGCATGGCTCACATTTAAGTACTTTACTGCGCGAACATCCGAGATTAGAAATGTTATTACGTCGTTATTTAAATATTTGTGGTCTACAGACTCATCTAGATCTACAGAATGATCTGCTATTTGTACAGCCACACCTTACTGATTGTTCATGAACAATAAACCATCTATTGTGTTGCAAGCTTTCTCTAGTCAGTTATTTGGCGTAACAATATCATACAATCCTATCGCTTCACGTCTTCGTATATGACGTTGATGGGGCGTTAGTTCTGGAGTGACTTATACTCTTCCCTAAAATTAACGAGTTAATATTGTTTATCGAATACATAAGCTATTTAGCATCGTTATAACATCGGGTATGTCGATCTGTCCGACATTTTTCTTTGGTGGATAACTGGCAAATACCCCTTAATTTAGATAGGTGTGTGTGGTTAGGGAGATTGTATGCAACTGTAGTGTGGGATGGTACCACCCTTTTCCTCACTTCTTCAGCCACAAACTCTAAAATACACTCTACCTCGGTGAGCCATTTAAGATTTTTATCAGTATTAAGTCCCCATATGTGTGTTACGGGTACTAATTGGTTAAGCCTACCTTTAATTTGGGCTAGAGGGCTTTGTGACTGACGGATATCAGTACTATATCGATCAGTATTTTGGTACGTATGGGAGATAAACTATTTTGGTCATTGTAAAACATGCTCTCTGGTAGAATGTGCTAACTTTTCTATGCACGTTCATACTGTGCCTTTTACGTCAACAAGTATTGCCGTTGGCATATTGTATAAAGAGATAGAGAGGTTGTTACTTGGAGAATCAGGTAGTAATATTACTATTTGTTGATAAGACGCATA